TGATACGATTCAGCATATCATATAACGAATTCCATCTGTACGTCAATATCTTGTATCAACTCTGGCGGTAGCAGGCTTTCTTCATAATTTTCTGCAACTTGTTTCATTTTGACAACTGCTGCATGGAGTTCACCAATTCCAGAAAGTAAGATGTGATTTAAGATATGCGCAAAGCAAGTTATTTTAGACCATCCTCCGATAGTAAGTGCTTTACCGATGGCTGAGTTGATATCACTCACCACAGCCTCTATTTTTTCCAATATGTCCCACTTGTTTAATTCATTTTTTAATAAAGCGTTTAATTCTAATCCGGTGTACAGCAAGCTGCTTAATAACTTGGCACACCGATTATGATCTTTATCTATGTAATGTGCTGTTAATACCATATAGAATTTACCTTTGAACGATGTCCATGTTTCAATTGAGATGCATACTGAGGTCGCATTTGATATTTCGTTGCCCACACTATTCAAAGTCTGTTCATAAATTTGTGGCAACAAAATTTGCGTCAAAGTTTCTCGAGTTGGGACGTTGTATCCAGGATTTAACAATATTAACAGCTTTCGAACTTCAACTTCTTCAATTATTAGTATTCCCTTGCAATCATTTTGACTAATTGTGCATCTATTTCAGATGCTTCGTGCATAAACAGAGGATCTGTATTTTGCATGTAATCATAATTATCTATATGTTCCATTGTATGATCATGCTCTGTTTTCGATGTCGAAGCTTCTGAGGATGTTTTGTCCAAGAATCCGGACTCACGCTTTATGCCCAGACAAAATGCTACCGCGGGATGTTTTCTTTTTAGATGTCTCGCTAAATTCCAGTTTTTCCAGTATTCATCTTTAAACACCAAAACAACTTTAATATTTTTTTTAAATAACATACGTTGCCCGTAAATTATTTTTTTATTAATAACAAATTGATATATCGTTCAAATTATATATTATATATTCATTTATACTTTAAAATAAAGCTTTATCTAAATTTAAATTTATTATCTATAAATATATTTTTTAACTTCTAGTTCAATAAAAAAAATCCAGAGTTTAAAGACTTTGTTGAATAAATAATAAACTAAAAATTAAATAATAAAATTTAGTTTATCATTTTACAATTTGCTAAATAAATGTGGCTAGGTAAATAATATTATTAACTTTTAGTTCATCATTTTATTTTATTCAATAGTTTGTATTTTTCATTAAACGTCTTTAAACTCGTGTGTGTTTTTTTTCCTGATTTGTATTTGTTAATGTGCTGAATGATGACACACATACAGTGTCGAAACGTATATAATAAATATATAATTATTTACTACTTTTTATAAAAACATAAAACAAGTCTGTTAATAGTTAAACATCTACAAAAGAACATATCTCTTTTGTAAACTTTTTTTTTAAATTAATTTTTTGGAAAAGTATCAAACCAAATTCTTGAAAATTCTGGATATATATATATATATATATATATATATATAAATAATTATGAAATATGAACAACAATTTACAATTTTTTGAGACTCGGTTTGTCTCATCATCAGTATAAAAAATTTAGGATATATATATACACACACACACACATATATATATATATATATATATATATATATATATATATATATATATATATAATTAACTATGAAATAAAAACACAAAACACTCATTTTTGCACTGTTTATGAAGCATTTTAAATTTTATAAACTTTTTGAGACTAGGTTTATGTCCCATCATCAGTATAAAAATTTTAGATATTTAATCACTAACATAAAGACAAGAAGGTCCATGTTATCCGATGCATAATGAAATATGACTCAGTAATAAATAACACATGTGTGTTTTAGACTAGATGACTTACTTATCTTATTAAATTCAAGATAAATCGCTTTTCTTTGACTTTGGGATTATGGTACAGAAAAATCGGTTATACACTGATGATGTGACAAACCTAGTCTCGAAACGTTTGTAAAATTAAGAATATTTTTGATAATGATATTTATATATTTATGTTTATATTTTGGATACAGGATTAAATTTAGTAATTACAGAAAATAAATTATCACACTGAAACGATATTAAACTTAACATTTGTATTATGTAATGCAATAACTTGAACAAAAAAAAATGTTATAATATTGAAATAGTTTATTTAAGGCTTGTAGATCTTGAGATTCTTTTTATGGTAAAAAAAAATCCTTTAAATTTTTAAGTCCCAAATTTGGAAAATAATAATTAAGAGCAGTATCAAGAAAAGAATATTATATGCAAATAATTGTAATGATAAAATACTTTGGGTAGAAAAATGTTAAAATACTTTGGAATAAAATTAACTTTTTTGGAAAAAATAACAAAATTCAATGAGTAGTGCAAAAAGAATGTTGTGTGTTCATATATCATTCTTATACATACATATATATATACATATATATATATATATATATATATATATATATATATAATAAGCCTATTACTTCATTGCATTTTTATTTGTATTTTTTTTTTAAGTTTATTTATAATTTTTATTCGGGATCAAATATGTCATCGAAGTGTATGTTATTGTTGCCTGATTGACGATCGTTGTGATAAACCAGTTTTTAATTTAAAAATGGCAAAATTTATTTTAAATTGTTAATAATGAATTGTTTAAAAATTATATTTTAACTGTTGGCGTTTATTTGACTGCAACAATTGATGTTTGATGTGTTCCCGCCTAAAAATAATAAACCTAATCAAAGGAGCTATACTGTAATAAATAGATAAAAGATGTTATTGAAACTTTTTAAAATTTGTAATTCTTCAACTGGAAAATTGAAACCAATATTGAAGTGCTTGAAGTTTTTAAAATTATGGTATAGCTTTGTTTGATGTGTGTTCAAGGCAAAATATATTTAAGGATTTTTTTTCACAGTTTTGTTTGAATCAGTTATAAATGAAATTAATTAATAAGATTTTTTTAACATAATTTTTATTTCTCGTGTTGTTTTTATCAAATTTTATTACTCGATGAACATGGTTAAATGTTTACTGTCCCAAATAATTCATGGATTACACAGTGTTTAAATGTAAAGTAATACTAAATAAATAAATCAATGTTACCAAAAAATCCATCTGTTAATTATAACTATAAATTCTCAATTTTATTAAGTACCTCAATATAAAGAATCACATTTATAATTTGTCATGTATCCATATTCTGTCTGTATGTCTGTTTGTTTGTTTGTTTGTTTGTTTGTTTTGTATGAAATTGCTTCATTTACTTTGTAATGAGAAATAATAATTAATTTATTACTATTTCTCTTGTTTTGTGAGTTTTTAGATTTTATACACACACACAACAGTTATGCTATTTGATGAGATACACTTAATTTTATAGTAACCGATAGTTTAATAATATATTTTTATAAAAATGATCGATCGACCCCTTTTTTAGTATTCTTAAAATGAAGAATTCTCATTTTAATATGTATATACCTTAACTTACTTTATAAATATGTTTAATAAAAATAAATATTATGAAAAGGGAGTTTTATTGACTTTTCGGAGGAGGGGTTTGATTTAGCTGGATCCAATTTGTGTATATGATTTTTTTTGAATTGTTTGATGAAATTAAAAATGATGAGTATGTTAGTAAAAATGTTCTAGAAGAAATTTACTTTAAAAAATCATTTCTTATTAAAAATGTGATAGAAAAAATTCAAAATTTGGAAACTTCAATCAAGTAATCATTTGTTATTATAAATGTATTATAAAGGCAATTAAAAATTGATGAAATTTTACTTAAATAATAATATTATTAAAATTGTTTTAGCAGAAATTGAAAATTGGTGAAATTTTTACTGAAAAAAACATTATTAACAATATGTGTTAGAAGAAATTCATAATTAGTAAAATTTTATCGAAAAAAAAAAAAAATTTTACTTTTATAAAATCATTTGTGATAGAAGAAATTTTAATTTTTTTAAAAAAAATATTATTAATAAAAATGTAATAGAAGAAATTCAAAATTGATAAATTTTACTGACTTAAAAAAAAATATATTAGGGATGTTTTAGATGAAATTGAAAATTGGTAAAATTTCTAAATAAAAAAACATTTCTTATAATGATATGTTAGAAGAAATTCAAAATTAGTAAAATATCTAAATGATAATGAAATTTAAATTTACAAAATTTTACTTAAAAAAATAATTAATTATTAATAAAAATGTGATAAAGAAATTCAAAATTGATAAAATACTATAATTTCTTAAAAAAGCAATTTGTTATTAAAAATATGCTAAAGAAAATTTAAAATTGGCAATATTCACTTTAAAAAATCATGTTTCATTAAAATGTAATAAAAAAATTAAAAATTGGCAAAATTTTACTTAAAAAATCATGTTTCATTAAAATGTGATAGAAAAAATTAAAAATTGGCTAAATTTTACTTAAAAAGATCATTTTATTAAAAATGTGATGGAAAAAATTAAAAATTGACAAAATTTCACTTAAAAAATCATTTTTATTAAAAATGTGATAGAGAAAATTGAAAATTAGCAAAATATTAATTTCAAAAAAAAAAAAACAATACATTTTTTTAAATCACTTTAAAAGTTTTTGAAATCTTTAATAATAAGCAAATATAAGAATTATAATTATTCACCTTTTATATATAATATTTAATTATAAAAATGTGTCCTAAGGTAAAAACTTTTTTATAAACATACTTTTTAAAGTCTAGTTGTTCTAACAAAAAAATCGTTTTTGAAATTCGCGCCAATATAAAATTTCAAATATCACTGAACTGTTCCATTTATATTTAAAATTTAATCAAATTTAATACTTTAAATTGTATTTTTTCTTCAAATTCTTAATGTTTAATTGAATATACGTATATATCATTATTTTAAAAATGTAGAGTTCCATAAATCTCTTTCAAACCAAACTTTTTTTTGAATTTCGCGCCATTACAAAATTTTGAACAGCAGTTGGAACATTACTTTATATCATTTATATTACAATTTTAATCATATTTAATAACTTAAATTGCGTGTTTTTTTTTCAAATTTAATACTTTTTAACAATTTTAGTTTGGTGATAAATAATTTTTGGTTAGATCGGAGTCTTTTTATTAGTCACTACGCAAGACAGGAGCACATGAGGTAGTTATTTTAAAATAAATTAGTTAATGTCTAAATATAATTAGTAATAGTTGTTTTAATTATGTTTTAGATTGTGGATACATACATTATTATTAAAATCAGGGAAGGAAATTAATGGACAATAATTCTGGTAAGTGTTTTCAAAATTTTTCTAGAACATGACTCTACATTATTATTAGTAGTTAATATACAATTATAGTTAAATACATTTATAACAACTGTTTTAATTGTATTACAGATTGCGAATAAATACATTATTAACATCAGTGAAAGGAATTAATGGACAATAATAAATTCAGGTAAGTGTTTCAAAATTTTTTAAAACCTAGCCTAACATGACATATAAATGAAATTTTATTTATTTTACCAGTTGTCTTCAATCAACATTTGATATCATGTACATTGTTTTAAAAATATGAGTTCAAATGAAAGTTCCCAAAATCGTCTGATTTTGATTTTAATTCTCAACATTATTTAAACGAACATCTTGAGTCTAAAAACAAGTCTTGCTGTTCATCGAGTTCCTCAGATAATAATTTAATGAACAAATCAAATTTATCTCAACAATCTGGGAGCAACTTAGTCAACAATCAACACGAAAGCTTCAGGCAGCCTTTAGAAAAGATTGATTCTTATAAAAATAAAAGTAGTATTTTATCTCAACAACCTTCAGCTGAAATTAACACTATCAACAATCAACAAGAAGCCGAAGTAAGTCCACCAGTTTATTTTTTACCAAAGCCGATAGAAAAGCATGATTTTTATCAAAATCAGTCTCAAAGTAAGTATAGAAATATTAAACAACGCACTCCTGTTTTGGTTAATGATAAGGATAAGAATGTTCCAAGAATAGTACAACCAGTTGTTGGTAAAATGGATTCTTTTGCATATTCTAAGTATAATAAAACTACATCATCATCGGCAGTTACTACTGCTGATTTGGATACTTCAAATGATGCAGTTTATTATCTTCCTGAGTTTAAATCGCAAAAAAATGGTTTCAAGCTTAAAAGCAGTAGTAAGTATAAGAATATCTTGAGGAATGTCGATGCTGTTTGTGGTGCTTCTACTAAAAGAATCAATAGAAGGGTTTCTCAGAAGAAGTCTTTGCGTAGCAGTCTGCCTTTGGAGCAACAAGTTGATGTGCAAATAAATTGTTTGGAAAAGGACGACCTGGATAGAATTGATAGGAATAAAAGTACTAATTTGGATGAGAAGAGTAAAACTAATGATGGGTGCACAATGGTAAAAGAAATGTCTTGCAAGAATACCAGAATGGTTTCCAAATTGGATTCTGAAGATTCAGGACAAACCAGGAATACGAAGAAGCTAAAAATTTGCCAGAATTAAGTGTCTGGACTTGGAAGACTTGAACAGAATTGATGGAATCAACCAGAACAAAATTAAACAGACTAAATTTAATGATGAGGGCACAATGGAAGTACAAATTTCTCCAACCAAGAATGTAGAGAATATTTCTTCAAATAGAGATGAGGATTTATATAAAAATACTGAACAAAATGATGGTGCACATTGTAGACAAACCAGAAGTTCCAAAAGATTGGAAGATACCAGAGATAAAAATAAAATGCCAGCACAAAAGGCTAAAACAAAACCCAAAAATAAAACATCAGATGATAAAAAATCATCTGTAGGTGATGAAAAAACCTTAACAGATGCTGGAAAATTATTTACAGATGTTAAAAAATCATCTACTGATAATAGTTCAGTTACAGATGAAAGACAATCATTTACAGGTAAAAGAAAATTATCTACAGAAGATGAAAAATCTTCTAATAATTATAGATCATTTACCGGTGATAGAAAATTATCTACAGATACTAGATTACCTACAGACAATAAATACTCATCTACTGGTGATATTAAATTATCTACACAAGATAGATCATCTGCGAAGGTAAAAAAATTAGCTGCAGATAATAAAAGATTATCTACAGATGAAAGAAAATCATTTAGAGACGATAGAGCATGTTCAGATGGTGGAAAATTATCTACTGATGATAAAAATACATTTACAGACGTAAGATGTAAATCTGCAGATGATAAAAAATCTTTTAGAGATGATAGATCATTTATAGGTGATAGAAAATCATCTACGGATGAAAAAAAAATATACAGATGATATTTTAACTACAGATGGTAAAAAATCAGCTGTGATGATGAAAGATCATTTGTAGAAGTTGGAAGATCATTTAAAGGCGATAAAAAAATCATCTATGGATGAAAGAGAATTATATACAGATGATATTTTAACTACAGATGATAGAAAATTATCTGCAGGAGTTGGAAGATCATTGTAGAAGATGGAAGATCATTTAAAGGTGTTAGAAAATCATCTACGGATGATAAAAGATCAATTGCACAAGATAATTCAACTACAGATGGTAGAAAATTATCTGCAGATGATGGAAGATCATTTGTAGAAGAAAGAAAAATATTTACAGGAGGTAGAAAATTATCTACGGATGAAAGGAATTCATTTACAGATGATAGATCAATTATAGGTAATGAAATGTCACCTTCAAGTGATAGAAAATCATTGGCGGATGATAGAAGATCATTAATGATAGAAAATTATTGTACAGGTTATAGAAAATCATCTACAGATGAAAGAAAATCTTTACGGATGATACAAAATCATATGCTGATAGTCATTCATCTGCAGGTGACAGAAAATCATCTACATGTGATAGAAGATCATTAGCAGATAAAAACTATATAAAGATGATGGAAAATTAAATGCAGATGAAAGAGATTCTTCCAGAGACGATGGAAATACATTTACTGCTGATAGAAAATCATCTACAGATGAAAAAAAATCACCTACGAATGATACAAAATCATCTGCAGATGATATAAATACATCTGCAGGTGATAGAAAATCATCTTCAAATGATAGAAGATCTCTAACAGGTAGAAAACTATCTACAGATGATAGAAAATCAAATGCAGATGAAAGAGATTCTTCTAGAGACTATAGAAATACATTTACTGATGATAGAAAATCATTTACAGATGAAAGACAATCACCTATAGATGAAAGAAAATCATCTAGAAATGACAAAAAATCAAGTACAGTCGGTAGAACATCTTTTACAGACCATAGATCATCTACAAATTATAGAAAAACATTTAGAAATGATAGAAGATCATCTACAGATGATGAAGAATTACCCATAGATGGCAAAAATTCAGATGCAGATGATAGAAATCCAGACGATGGAAATACATTTATAGGAGATAGAAAATCTACAGATGATGAAGAACTATCCACAGATGGTAGAAATTCAGATGCAGATGATAGATCATTTACGGGCAAAGGAAGTACAATTAGAGGAGATAGAAAATCAAGTGCAGATCATAGAAAATCTTCTGCAGATGACAGAAATACCTTTACAGACGAAAGAATTACATTTGCAAGTGATCAAATGTTATCTATAGATCGAAGATCATCTGCAAATAATAGAAAATCACATACAGATGATAGATTATCTACAAATCATAGAAGAACATTTAGAAATGATAAAAGAACATCTACAGATGATGAAGAATTATCCACAGATGGTAGCAACTCAGATGCAGATGATAGATCATTTACAGACGAAGGAAATACAATTAGAGGAGATAGAAAATCTTCTACAGATGATAGAAAATCTTTTACACATAAAAGAAAATTATCTGCAGATGATAGAAACTTTGATAGATCCTTTGCAAGTGGTAGAAAAATTATTGCTGCTGAAAAAAAAATCATCTACTGATACAAAATCACCTAAAAATAATAGAAAATCGTGTGCAGCTGATGATGAAAAATCAACTACAGATCATAGAAAATCATTACTGGTGATAGAAAATCATCTACAGGTGAAAAGGAAAAAACCTACAGATGATAGAAAATTATCTACAGATGCAAGAAAATCATTTACAGATGATAGACAAGGTAAAAGAAAATTATCTGCAGATGTGATAGAAACTTAGAGCAGGCGATAGATTATTTACAAGTGATAGAAAATCATATATTGATGATAGACCATCTACAGATAGTAGAAAAGCATTTGTGGGTGAAAGAAAATCATCTACTGATACAAAATCATCCAAAAATGATAGAAAATCTTTGCAGCTGATGAAAAATCAACTACAGATGAAAGCAATTTAGCTACAGGCGATAGAAAATCATTTACAGATGATAAAAAATCATTTATAGGTGAAGAAAAATCACCTAGAGATATTAGAAAATCATCTACAGAAAGAAAATCATTCACAAATGATAGAAATATATTTACAAATGATGGGAAATCACCTACAGATGCTAGAAAAATACTTATAGGTGATAGAAAATCATATACAGACTGCAGAAGATCATCTGTTGATAGAAGATCATCTACTAATGATAGAAAATTATCTACAAATCATGGAAAATCGTCTACAAATGATAAAAAAGCATCTAGAGATGATGGCAAAACAGCTACAGCTAATAGATCATTTATGGATTGTCATAAATTATCTGCAGATGATAGAAAATCATTTACAGACGACAGGAAATCATCTACTGATGATAGAAAATCATATACGAACCATGGAAAATCATCTGCAAATAATAAAATATCATCTAGAGATGATGGGAAAACAGCTACAACTAATAGATCATTTGTGGAATATGATAAATTATCTGCAGATGATATAAAATCATTTACAGACGACAGGAAATCAACTACAGATGATAGAAAATCATTCGCAAATCATGGAAAATCATCTACAAATGATAAAAAATCATCCAGAGATAATGGAGAAACAGCTAAGCTAATAGATCATTTATGTATTGTGATATATTATCTACAAATGATGGAAAATCATTTTCAGACGTCAAGAAATCAACTATAGATGATAGAAAATCATTCGCAAATCATGGAAAATCATCTACAAATGATAAAAAATCATCCAGAGATAATGGAGAAACAGCTACAGCTACTAGATCATTTATGGATTGTGATATATTATCTACAAATGATGGAAAATCATTTTCAGACGTCAAGAAATCAACTATAGATGATAGAAAATCATTCCCAGATAACGAAGTAGAAATGCAAGAAGAATTACAAGACAAACAAGATTCTTTTCCACTAAAAACTATCAACAAACAAAAAACTAAACCCTTGTCTGTCAATAAACAAAACAACATAAAAATCAATCACATCAAAACCAAGTTATTAAAATTGCATGAAAAAATGGCGAAATGCATTTCCAAAACAATTTACAAACCTAATATCACAAACTCACCTGATATTTGCAAGAGATACGCTTTAGCTAATAGAAATTTCACTGTTTTGGACTCGATGAACAAAGGTAAAGAAAATAGCAACATAAATCCTCTTGATTTAAGAATACCGGTTACTGATAAGGAAACTGATGATACGGATACTGATGAAAATGGAATGGATATAGATATATATGATAATGATGCAAATGCTGGTGAAGGTAATAAAGGAATTATATTGAAAGACGTAGAGGCTCAAACAAGTTTTTTATCAAACAGTTTTAAAGAACAAGACCAGGAAGTAACCATTACAGACCAGAAAAGTGTTGAACCAATTATTTTAAACACTGATCAAGATGGTTCCAATATGTTGAGGATATTTTTGGACAAAAGGATGCAAACATTCAAACAAGTATGATTATTGAAACTAATAGTCAAGAAGGACAAGGATTAATTAAATCAGTGTGCAATAAATCAGTAATGGCCAATACTGATAATTATGAGTTTAAAGTGCAGGACAACACTTAAAAGATATCTCAAATAAAAATACCAATGACTCTAGTTTCAAAACAACAGAAAAAAGTAAAAAAATTATTGAAACAATAATTTTAGACATCCTTGAAACTAACATCAACGTTATGGATTGGAAAAAAAGTTTGTTCAAAAACAGTATTGACCTGATTATCGAAGAAGTTACCCAACGTTGCGCAGCAAAACAGCAAAAACGTCTTGGAGGCTCCAAGAAAAAAGTCACCAAAAAGAAAACAGTCAGGAAAAAGACTTTAGTAAAATCTGCTGCTGCAACTACATCAAATACTGATCAAGTTGATGTACAAGTTGATGAGAATGTGATGCCTGCACCAGCAAAATCTCGCAATAAAATTTATGAGAGTCTTGAACATTAACACAGACTATCAAGGCTACTTTGGACGACTTGGGAATTAATGAGGTCATCCCCAACTCCCAAGAATCGAATACTGTTGTTGATAAAACATCGGACACAAATTGGATGAATTTTAATGACAAAGTTGGACCAACAAGTACACCCATTGATAGAAACATGGATTATTCCAAATTAGTGCAGGGAAATAAAAATATTTTAACTAATCCAGTTATCCCTAAGTGTACCAAACAAGCAACACTAACCCAAACCTTTAAACTACAAAAACGACCAATTTTCCAAAAACCGGTAAACTGTGAACTCATCATCAATAATATTGATGATACTGATGAGTCAAGTGATGATGATTCCAGGTCTAATATTTGGAACAAAATTGAAGAGTACATAAAACATGGTGATCCATCTAAATTTGGTATAGTTTATGATGACCCTTGGATTTTTTACCCGAGTACTACTGTTAAATTGTTAAACAGCCAGGATACGACCATCTGCCAGGATTTACGTGTAACCAGGAAGGTTTTAATAATTGATGCAAAATAATGGACATTAATAATTTTTATGAAGTTTTATATGTAGCTATTGTAGAAATAGCTACAAAATTATTGAACAATGCATTTAATTCGATAACAAATACTATAAAACCCCTTAAGACGATTACTACTATTGTCCTTCTACTTTCTTGCTTAAACGTGTTTTGTTTCCGTCTAAACGGGGATTTACGTACTAGAGTATTTATACTATGAATTTTTAATATATGTGATCTAATGAATTGTGTGATACTAATTTTAATAAAAGTTTATTATTAACCTATGTAGTTTATATTTTTGCCAGAAAATCCAATTTGTTTTTTTTTTCACGTTTCAAGTCATTCTGAATCGTTTGGGACCGAATTTGCAAAATCTATCTGATTATAATGATTTATTAAATCTGCTTTATTATTAATTCCCCCAAGGAAAAGTTTGTTATTGCCAGAAAATCTGACTAATTTTTATTTTGCAGACGCTTATAGTCATTCTGAATCGATTGACATCGAATTTGGGAAATCTATCTGATTTAATAAATTTTCTTTATTATTAATTCCCCGAAGGAAAAGTTAATGTTTTTGCCAGAAAATCCGAAATGCTGTATTTTTGTTTGCTCGACGTTTCAAGTCATTCTGAATCGTTTGCGACCGAAATTGAAAAAACTATGTAAGTGTGTATTTTATAATATATATTAAAGAGTGTATATAATTTTTAGATTATTGTTTAGATTATGACAATTTAATAGATCTTTAATCAGATTTGCTGAATCGTTTGACACCGGAATTGAACATTTATCATGTATTATTGTGGAAAATTAAATTTGCTCAAATATTAATTTTTAAAAGAAAGTTTATAGAGGTTTTTGTTTCGCGAAAAAATCCGATTTGCTAAATTTACGTTTTCTCAAGTCATTCCTGAATCGTTTGCCACCGAAAGTGAAAAAATCTATCTGATATTATAAAAAAATTTAATAAATCTCTCGGAAGAAGTTTATAGGTTTATATAATATATATTATATTTAAAAAACCGACCTACTTTTATATTTTGTCAATGTTTCAGCTCATTCTGAATCGTTTGACATCGAAGTTAGAAAAAGTATGTGTGTTTTAAATATAAAAATTACAAGAATAAAACTGGAAAATGTGGAAAAAGCTGTAGTATCAAATTTTGCAAAGTTTTCAATGAAATTATTTCTAAAATTGTATTTGTTACAATATAACATTGAATGTTAGATCTACTGACCATGATATATATATCTACTAGAGCAAGAAATAACTAGTGGTGTATGGATCGTGCCTTAAGGCAAATTGCTGGAACTTAGATTAATCTATTTGAAACCAATTAATATTCCTCGAACATTTTGTTATAACTTATTAGACAAATGTTAAAGTATTTATAATAATTATAATATACACAAGGTATAATATATTAATTGAATTAAATTTATCGTTAACGAGTAGTTTTGAAATTTAAAATAACCGCTTTAATAAATATTTAGTATTTCATTTAAATTATTAATTTAAATGCGTCTAATTTACTGTAAAAAAATAATATTAAAAGTATTTTTGGCAAATAGATGTAAAATAAATGAATTTTTTTTTTTTTTTTTTGTATTATTTTCATAGCAAGCTATACAAAGTACATTCAGCTACATATGTTACAGTTATATATTAATTGTCTGCGTGAGAAGGATCGCTATCCTGCGATAGCGCCTTCATAGATATCATATTATATTTTGTAGTAGATCATTGATATTCTTTTTTTAAGACGCTTGGTGGTAAAGGCTTGAGCAGATCTGACGCTAATACGTTTGGATGACGACTCAGACGAGCTTTATATCTGGTGCAGTATAGATTAATTTCTTCATCTATAGTTCGGACTCTGAGATCTCGATGTATCAACCAGTTTGGAACATATTTTGGAGCGTTCACGATTTCTTTCAAAATTTTGTTTTGAAACCTTTGTAAAATAGTTATATTTGATTTACTGGCCGCACCCCATAGTTGTAGACCGTAGTAGGACCATATTGGTTTATTATTGTCTTGTAGATTAAGAGTTTATTTTCTATTGTGACTTGTGATTTCCAGCCCATTAACCAATTTAGTTGTCTACGTGTTAATTCAAGCTGCTGACGCTTCTTTAGGATATGTTCATGCCAGGTTAATCTTCTATCTAAATGTAATCCTAGATATTTAACAACATTGGATACAGGAACCAAATCACCATTCAATCTAACAGGGGGGCATGAACCTTGTCTTAAGGTAAAAGTAACGTGAACTGATTTAGAGTTATTCACTTTTATTCTCCATAGTTTCATCCACTTTTCTACTTCATCTACATGTTTTTGTAGAATTTCCGAGGCAAGTAATTGGTTGTCATGTTGAGCTAGAATTCCCGTGTCATCTGCAAAGGTAGCAATCATGGTTCTGCATTTGTAGGTATTATCAGCGTATATATAATGTAAGCAGCGGACCAAGAACACTACCTGGGAAACTCCGGAAGAAATATTTTAACATTAGATGAAGCATCATTAAAACTGACAAAGAACCTTCTATCACACAGATATGATTTTAGGAGGAGATAATAGTTGTATGGTAAATTCTTCTTTAATTTGTACAATAAGCCGTTATGCCAAACTTTATCAAACGCCTGACTAATGTCAAGAAAAAGGGCTGAACAATATTTTTTTAAGTGAAAGGCTTTATAAATGGAATCCACAACTCTATGTATTTGTTCTACTGTTGAATGTTGTCTAATGAACCCAAATTGATGTTTTGGCATAAAATTGTTATCTTCTAAAATATTTATGATTCTTTTGTGAATAACTTTTTCAAAAATTTTTGAGAGGCAAGACAGAAGACTAATGGGCCGGTAGGAAACTGCATCAGTAGGATTTTTTCCAGGCTTGAGAATTAAGATTATTTTCGCCAATTTCCACGATGAAGGAAAATACTTCAGCCGTATTATGGCATTAAATAATATAGTTAAAAATCTCTTACCTTTATCAGGAAGGTGTTTTATTAGACCAAATGTAATCGCATCTTTACCAGGGTTTTTCCCAATTTAGTGTTACTAATCTCGTAGAGCACTTCAGAATACTTAATTTTTGGAATGGGTTCGTCTGTGAAAATTACTGTCGTTCAAGTAATCTGTGATAAATTGATCGTTAGGTACATTACAAGGATGAGAGAGTGAAGACCTTTTCAAGGTGATTTGCAAAGGTAATAACCTTGTCTTCTGCTGATCTAGACCAAGAACCATCATCATTTCTAATTGGAGATACCGTGGAAGTTGGTCTTCTCATATTTTAAAATAAATGAATAGTTTGAATTTGAAATTGGGCGCGCTGCTCTTAACTCCACCATCTTTCTTTCGTTTCAGGCAAACTTCACGCTTGTCATACACAAAAAAAACGTCAAAGTTGTCATAATGTCAGTGCTTGATTCTACAGAATAGTTTTGCAAAAGTGCCGATTTTTGACAAAACATACATCTCAACATCCAAATATTTAATTCAAATATTATTCTCATTATCTTTTTACCAATTGTGCAATATGTGAAAAATAATCCAATTACTTTTGTAGACCTTAGAAAATCTCTATGTGTTAATTTGAAGATTCTTAGGAAAATGTGCTAACGTGATAGTCGTCAGCATAACATCAGCATGAATTGATGTTATGGAATCCCCGCCTTCATTTTCTGGTTGGTCTGAAACATAGATAAAAGAAGAGTATATAGATCGCTCTCTCGGGGCATATTTCGTTGCCACGTTAACTGTCAACTTGCCGGGGTTAGTTCGAGCTGCTCTCCCTTGGTGCGCACGCGCCGATCGTAGTAGAACGGGTGCGTACAAAAAATACTATAGAAAGAACCAATATTATAGACCGTTTGAATTCAAAATTAAAAAAAAAAAAAATTGGATTTTAAAAAGCATTTTATTTTAACAATAGTATTTTACACACATGGTTACAAAAGATTCATCCTTATAAGCAAA